ACACCAATCCAGGAAGCTCGGAGAGTCCCAAAGTTGGACCCAAAGAGGCCTAAGCCGAGACACAAAAGAGTTAAAATGATAAGGCTTAAAGACAAGGAGAGAATCTTAAAAGCCATAAGAGAAAAGCAGGTAATTACCTATAAGGGAGCACCAATTAGACTGGTATCTTATTACTCAACAGAAACATTTCAGGCTAGAAGGGAGTAGTGTGAAACATTCAAGGTGATGAAAAGCAAAGACCTGAAACCGAGTCTACTTTACCCAGTAAAACTATCATTTAAAATCGAAGGAGAAATAAGGAGCTTCCCAGATAAGAAAAAGCTGAAGGAGTTTGTTAACACTAACCCAGTACTGCAACAAATGTTAAAGGGTTTGCTTCGGAAAGGAGAAGAAAAAGAGAGAGAAAGAAAAAAAAAGAAACAGAGGAAAATACTCCAGCAATAAAATGGTAACTAAATATGTGTCTATAAATAATCACCTTAAATGTAAATGGCTTAAATGCTCCAACCTAAAGACAAAGGGTGGCTGAATGGGCAAGAAAACAAGACCTCTGTATATGCTGCCTCTTAAGAAACCTATCTCCAATAGAAAGATATACACAAACTAAAAGGGATAGAAAAAGGTATTTCATGAAAATGGAAGGAATAAAAAGCTGGGGTAGCAGTACTTATATCCAGACTTAAAAACCAAAGCTATAGTAAGCGACAAAGAAAGGCACTACATAATGATAAAAGGAACAATCCAACAAGAGGATATAATCCTAGTAAACCACATAAACAAAAAAAGAAGGATAAAAACCACATGACCATATTGATAGATGCAGAAAAAACATTTGATAAAATCCAGCACCTATTTACGATTAAAAAAACTCTCTGCAAAGTGGGACTAGAGGGAATATACCTAAATATAATAAAAGTTATATATGACAAACCTACTGCCAGCATTATACTAAAAAATCTACAAGCATTCCCCTTAAGATAGAGGGCAGACAAGGATGTCCGCTCTCACCTTTCTTATTCAACGTGCTACTGGAAGTTCTAGCCACAGCAATTAGACAAGAAGAATAAATAAAAGGCATCCAAATTGGAACAGAAGAAGTAAAACCATTATTATTTGCTGATGACATGATACAATACATAGAAAATCCCAAAGATGCCACCAGGAAACTACAAGCACTGATAAATGAATTCAGCAAAGCACAAAATACAAATTAATACCCAGAAATCAGTTTTCTTTTTGCTTCACAGTCCAGTGCTCAATCCACTGAGCCATACCAGCCAGGGTTCAGTTTCATTTTTATATGCCAATAACAAACTAACAGAAAGGGAAATTAAGAAAATCCCATTAGTGATTGCTTCAAAAAGGATAAAATACCTAGGAATAAGCATAATGAAGGAGGTAAAAGATCTGTACTTGGAAAATTATAAGACACTGAAGAAACAAATTGAAGAAGATACAAATAATTGGAAGCACATACTATGTTCATGGATAGGAAGAATTAACATCATTATAATGTCCATACTACCCAAAGCAATCTATAGATTTAATGAAATTCCTATCAAGATTCCAATGACATACTTCATAGAACTTAAAAAATATTTCCAAAATTTATATGGGACCTCAAAAGGTCCCACATAGCAAGAGCAATCCTGAGAAAATGGAACAGAGTTGGAGGAATCACACTACCTGATGTGAAATAATACTATAAGACCATAGTAATCAAAACAACAAGGTACTGGCATAAAAACAGACACCTAGATCAATGGAACAGAATAGAGAACACATAAATAAACCCACACCTTTATAGTCAGTTAATATTCAAAAGAAGGAGCAAGCACATACAATGGACTAAAAATAATTTATTCAATAAATGTTGTTGGGAAAATTGGACAGATGCATACAGAAAAGTAAAATTAGACCACTTTCTTATACCACACACAATAATAAATTCAAAATAGATCAAAGACTTAAATGAGACCCCAAACCGTAAAACTCCTAGAAGAAAACATAGGCAGCAAAATCTTGGACATTGCTTATAGCAATATTTTATCTATCTATATCCCCAGGCAAGTGAAACAAAAGAAAAAATAAACAAATGGGACTATATAAAACTAAAAATTTTTGCACAGATGAGGAAATCATCAGCAAAATAAAAAGACAACCCACAGAATAGGAGAACATATTTGCCAATACATGTGATAAGGGGTTAATATCCAAAACTTATAAAGAACTTATAAAACTCAACACCAAGAAAACAAACAACCCAAATGAGACATGTACAAAAGACCTAAATATATACTTCTCCAAAGAGGTCATATAGATGGCCAATAGACATATAAAAAGATGCTCACCATCACTAAGTGACTAATCATCAGAGACATGAATATTAAAACCACAATGAGATATTATCTCACACCTGTCAAATGGCCATCATCAATAAATTAGCAAACAAGTGCTGGCGAGGATGTGGAGAAGGGGGAAGTCTTTTGCACTGTTGGTGGGAATGCAGACTGGTGTAGCCACTGTGGAAAAAAGTATGGAGATGTCTCAGAAGATTAAAAATGGACCTGCCTTTTGACCCAGCAATCCCACTTCTGTGAATATATCCAAAAGAATCCAAAACACTGATTTGAAAGAACATAAGCACCACTATGTTCATTGCAGTGTTATTTACAATTGTCAAGATATGGAAGCAGCCCATGTGTTCATCAGTAGATGAGTGGATAAAACAATTATGGGAAATTTACAGTGGACTACTATTCGATCATTAAAAAAAAAAAAGGAAAGAAAGAAAGAAAATTTTACCCTTAGCAACAGAGTGGATAGACATAGAGAACATTATGCTAAGTGAAAATAGGCCAGTCAGAGAAAGAAAAGCACCATATGATTTTACTCATATGTGGAAACTAATGAACAAACTGAACTAACAAGGAAAATGGGGACAGACTCTTAGATGGAGAGCAGGAGGACGGCTCGCCGGAGGTGGGGTGAACAGGGGGTGGACTGGGCAAGGAGGGGAAAGGACTGATGTGCACGGACAACGGTGTTGTGACTGCTAAGGGGAGGGGGGTATAAGGGGACTAAAAGGTAACAAAAAAAATACAATAATGATTAAGTCAAAAATAAAAGAGAGAGAAAGAATAGTATTGATGATAAAGATGAACTCCTAGAGCAATGAAACAGAAGAGGTACTCTAAATATAGCCCACTTAAATATTGTCGCTGATTTTTGACAAAGGTGCAAAGGTAATTCCATGGAGAAAGGCCAGTGTTTACAACAAATACTCCTTGGAATAACTGGCATCCTTATTAAAAAAAAATAATCCTCCATCTATATCTTGCATCATATACCAAAAAAAAATCCCCAAAACCTAAAAACATAAATGTAAACTAACATAAAATGTATATCAATAAAAATAAATGTAATACGGAAAACTATACAACCCAGGTGAAAACAAAGAAGAAAAATATTTATGACATTGAGTTTGAAAATAATTCTTAGGTACAACACAAAAATCATAACCTATAAAAGAAAAAACTTGGTAAATTAGACCATATCAATATGAAGAACAGTTTTTGTTCTGTTAAGAACACTTTTAATAGAATAAAAAGACCAGTTACAGACTGGAAGAAAATATTTGCACATCTCATATCAGACAAAAGACTTGTATCCAGAATATCTAAACGACTCTCAAAACTAAACAATATGAAAACACCCAATTAAAAAAAATTGGGCATATTTTGATAAATATTTCACCAAAAAAGATACATGGGTGGCAGATAAGCATATAAAAAGCTGTCCAACACAGTAGTCGTTATAGGCAAGGAAGATAAAAGCACAATGAGATACCATTACATATCTATTAAAATAGTGAAAATAAAAAAATGACAATTCCAAGTGCTTACAAGCATGGAAAGAAATAGGAACCCTAGCAGTAAAATGTAAAATGGCAAAGCCACTCTAGAAAACAATTCGGCAGTTTCTTTTAAACCTAAACATACACTTACCATGTAACCCAGTAAGCTAACTATAGGTATTTATTGTAGAGAAATAAAAAGTAATTTTTTGCATTAAAAACTGTACAGGAACATATATACCAGCACTATTTATAAATGCCTCATAATGGAAGAAATCCAAGTATCCATTAATTGCTGAATAGTTACATATACTGGTTAGCACATCCACACAATGGGTTACTGCACAGCAGTATGAAAGGACAGATTATTGATATGCACAGATACTTAGATGAACCTCATATATATTTTGTTAAATGAAATAACCCATTCGCAAAAGGTTACATACCATATTATTTCTTTATATACCATTCTAGAGAACGCATGAAAAAAGAACAGAGACGATTCAGTGGTTACAAAGGGTTGGGGATAGAGGGGGTCAGATACAAAAGTGGCATTATGAGGAAATTCTTTGACAACATTGAAATTTTTCTGTATCCTGTCTGTGATGATGGTTGCAAGAATCAGTACAAGTAAAAAACTCATAGTATTGTACAATGGAAAAAGTAGATTTCACTCTATGTAAAGGTGAAAAATTAAAAATGTTTTAAAAAACTCTTCTGGGGACTTTGTGCAATTTATATTGGCAGAAAATTCTCTGGATTTAAGCATACAATAAAATGTTTAAATTTACACCACTTAAAGACTATGTGCAAATTTGGTTATCAAGCAGGAGCAAATCAAGAAGCTAGAAGCAATTAAGTAGCAAGTATCAAGGGGCAAATATACATACACTGTCCCATAAAAAAACAAATATATGTGAGTGCTTAAAACTCTGTACTATCACACAGACAGGAATGGGGGAGTGCGTGGAGAGCAGACGGGAGAGGAAGTGAGGCGAGAGACGCTTGAGTAACCTAGCCTCCACTTCAAATGAAAAGTGTAGTGGCTTTCCAGGATGAATGACTTAATTAATTTCAATATTAACTTCAGCTCAGCCCCGTTCCTAAACATTACCAAGACTAGAAGCCCCACATTCATCAATACCTCTTCAATAGCACCTGCAGAAATCCTGTGACCTGCAACATTTATCACGTCATCAACTCGAGACATAACATACAAATAGCCTTCTTCATCCATGTAACCAGCATCCATGGTGTCATAATATCCCTGTAAGGAAGAATATGCAATGTCTAATTAGTATGTACTATTAAGTAATATAATCATTTTTAGGCTTGGTAAAACATAAAATGTCATAGAAATAAATGTACTGTATGCATTGGGTTTTTTTCATATTATGGAATTAAATTACTTTTGATTTTGAAAGCTTACTATAAAACTGTTTACTCCTCTAATAACCAGATATAAATTCTTATGTATATTTATATGTAATTATAAATATATATAATATATTTAATTTATATATAAATGTATATATATGTTCAAGTTTTTGAACTTTTGAATTTAGAGTTGTAAAATTTATGAACCCAATTTCTTTTTTTAATTGAAAAATAATTGCACAATATTTCCAATATACTTTGGTATTTCAAAGTAATTCTTTGGTAGATTTATTCTTTAATTGTGTTAATATTTATTAGCTTTAAATCTCTCTATGAATAATTACAAAATAGAGCACAGTTTATGAACATGGATTTGGATTAAACTTGAGCTTCAGTGAAACGGAGTTAAGCAGTAAGCATGAAATTAAAATTTTAATCAACTCAAAGGAGTAGCACATCTTCATTGGTCCAGAAGTCACAACAGAATGAGAAATCAAGAATAAGTAGAAAGAAAGAATCTTACTTCCTTAAGACCTCTGAGTTATCTTGATACCTATGTCTGTGAGCATGGGCTTCGGGACACATGCTGATGAGTCGCTATTTGTGTTCCTCAATCTTTCGGACACTCAGTGTGCACATCAATTAAACGGGGTAACAAACTATGCCTTATAAGGCTTTTGTAAAGCATAAATGAAATGGTGTGTATAAAGAGGGCACACACCTGCACGTCATGAGCCCTCAATAATTGACACTCATTTCAATTATTCCTGCAGTGACTATTAGAGAGTCTAATAATCTGGAGTATTAGTTAAAGAACATGGACTCTGGAGCCAGATTATATGCGTTCGGATATTAGCTTTGTTACTTCTAAGCTATGGTCAAGTTACTCAAACTTTCTGTGCTGTTATTAGCCCCTTGAATGAGAGCTCCGAGGTAAGGGTAACAATGCAGAGTACAGATTCACTACCTACAGCTTAAATATAATCTGAGACATGGAAGAAAGTTTCAGTGTTAAAGGCGATCATGTTAAAATCACATGCACATATCATTTGCCATTGTCAGATTGTAATTAATCATGCCAATATTCTGATGATTTCACTGTGGCCCATCAAGCAGATAGATTGGGCTGACTGAAGTCAACTACCCTGACAAATCTTCCCAGTCACAGTCCCTCAGGGGCAAGTTTAATCTTGTCTACTGAGGTCATTTAACTATCAGATCTCTTTCTAAAGGAAGCTATTTTAATTCTTGTCATTTGTCTAGTTGATTAGTTTAGCTGTCCACTCACAAATGAAAAAGAGAATGCTAAATACTCAAACTCACTTTTTCTTTTTAATGGAATTCTGATCATTCTTTTTACCTAGTGAATAATGAGGACCAAGTATCTCTCAAGGAAAGAATGAGAAAAGACAGCAAAAAGATGATGGTGGGATCCTGATGTGAATTATCACCAAAGTTCTGTTATAAACACAAAACACATGACCATAGCACAAGTGAACAGGTAAATGATAACAGAGACAATAGGAAGACACCTTTTGTTACTCAGGCGACTAGATCTTGGGAGTTGAGAACACTGTGTCTATCCTCTATCTTTATTTTAAAATGTGACTTTAAAACAAAGAGCTCAGAGAACACTCAGGAAAGAATGTCAAAAATAGCTAAAGGGATAGAAAAATACAGCCTCTGACAAGCCAGTGAATTTTGTTCCCATGCCCAGGAGCCCAGGAGGCAGAGTGGTCTTACTGACAGTGTACAATTCCAGTCAGGTCCTCTCAGTCTGCGAAGGAGTCCAATGGAAGAAATAATATAGAAAGTCCCCAAAAGTTTTATCTTCACAAAAATGTTTCTAATACTGAAGGCCATTAAATACCAGAAAAAGCTGGTAAAACAAACTGAGAAATTTGATACCCAGAGACTAGTAAAAATAATTATAAAAATGACTTATTTATGTAATTTGGACATTAATATCCCTGAAATCTGGGAAATGCGAATCAGATAACCTTTAAAAGCTGCTTTGTGATCAAGTTGCTTAACTGAATAGCCAAGAACTATGGAGAAACACATATGAAGGTTTAAAAAAAAAGTACAATAAATTTCTTACAGGAAATTTCTCAAAGTATAAATGCTTGAATGCTTCCTGATTCTTCCAGAGTCCTGAGAAAGCCCCAGGTGGTAACGGCAACCTTATATAAGAACAGAGAAGTTAGAATTATGATGAACGTGGTAACAAAGCCTGAATGACTAGGACTAATAACTTTCCAATATGATAGATATTACAATTCAAATCCCATAATGAAAATGTAACCCCTAAATCTGCTGGATGGATCGTGTCTAATTGAGGCTGAAGTAGTTGACCTCCACATAGCAGAGTCACTGCGGGGTGACTGTAGTTTCTGGGAAGGCCGCACAAGGCACGCATGTTTAGTATTTGAATAGTTACCGGCAGCAACCCTTGTTTCAAAAAGAAGCATAACATCTGTAAGAAGAAACCAAAATGCATTGCTGAATTACTTTTTAAGAGAAATATCCTTCTACCATAGGCAAGACAATTCTTTTTTTTTTTTTTTTTAAGTATCAAGGTACCAACTTCCAGTCTCTGTGTAATTGAATGCTCTAGTTAAACATCCCATGAAGAATCTTATCTTCACAATCAATGTGCCTTCCCACTCTGGGAATTCCCTCTCACTGCTCCCTCTTCAAGTCTTTCATGACCATGCAGACCTCTGCTACTTCTCATGCCTATGAAGAAAATAGAAGGTAGTATACATCTCTTCTTTCCAGCCCGTTTCCTCATATATTTCCATCTGTGAGGTAGCTCAAGACAGGGCTCCTTCCACCACCCCTGATGAGAGCTGGCCAGGGGGGCTTCGCGCCAGAGCAAATATGTATCGTTTTGGGAATGGTTTGGGAATGGAATAAGGAGGAAATTATAGTCTATTGCCAAAACAATAGACATCTCTTCTGGCCAGTGACTAGCCCTCAGTCATGGGAGGGGAAAGTGCCATGTATTCACCCCATAGATAAAAATATAGAAAGACAGATAGGGACTAAGCCCTGGGAAATAGACTGTAACTTCCTCCTTATCACCTTTGGGAAGTGGCTTCCTGTCCTGTGGCTGCTTCTTGACCTTTTCTTTACACTGAGGTAATGCAGTTTAGAATCACTTAGGACATGTGCCTCCTTTGTCTGGACCCCTTAAGACAAGTCTTGGTCACAGGTGGGGTGCAGCCTCTCTTGCACCAACCTGCCACCATCAGTGCGCTCCCCCGTAATGTCGGTCATAAATGGCATGTTCCCATCTGCTAGTCCCTCAGGTGGGGTTTTTTCTGAAATATCACAAAAAATTAAGTATCCACCAGTTTGGAGCTCCTGCATCACATTATCTATAACTACGTGAATAAATTCTCATATTGGTCCCCTGTAGGAAATGCCACTTAACAAAAATAATAACCCGATGTGTTTTCTGGATACAGAAACCATTTAGATGTTTTAGAGTTTGGAAGTTTAGATTTTCAAAAATCTAACCTCCTGTACTCACACAACAAAAATACTTAAAGCGGTTACTTCACAGCACTGATGCTGAGAAAATTGCAAAAAAAGCAGACGTGGCTATTGCCCGCAAGAGGTAACTTCAAGGACCCTCCACCCCAGCGTTAGACCTGGGAAGCACTGCCCTGTATTTTCACTTTCCGTCGGCAGAAAACGGGATAAGGTTAACAAGCGGGGTCAGCAGCTCAGCTGCACTTGCCTGTTTCCACCGTGGCCAGCCTCCCTGTAGGTCCCCCCTTGTTAGATCTTTTTGTAATACTTAAGATGAAAGAAAAATTATGCATTTGCATTTCTGAACCTCACATAGTTACATAAAACATGCATGAAGTCTTTTTGATATCTTAAAAAAAACTACAGGGATTCCGCCATGTTGTTGCTGTTGCAGTTGGTACTACTACATTCAAGTAATCTGCAGGAAGGCAGCAGGAGGCAGCAAGTAATCCCCTCAGGTCCTCCTAGCTTTGTTATGTTAATCCTTCATCACCTTGTAAATAATTATATTTCATGAGTTCAACTGTTAATACTTTATAAACCAGTGTAAAATCATTGATTATTAAGCATTAAACAAAAATAAGAATATGGCAACCATTAAAAATCATTTTAAATTTATTAGCAACATGTATAGGATGCTGAGGATAAAGAAATGAAGAGGACACCAAGAAAAGGTTGTGACAGGGTATAGAGTGAGAGCCCCCTGAAAATAGGAGAAACTCCCAACAAGCTTTGGTTGGGGTAAGGGGGAAGTGGATGATATGCATAGTTGGCATAATAATGGCAAGTTAATAGCTGTGCCTTTCTTAAATAGAGAGGGCTGCTGCCCAGGGCGAAAGGTGTATGTGACTTTGAGAGCCTATAGTAACTTGTGACAGAGCCAGAGGAGACTGATGCCCGTGTGTTATGGGGAACTCTTGCCCTGACTAAAGGATGGCAGCTGAAAGAAGGTAAAAGATATGGGGGGATGGTCAAAAATGGCACATCATAGGAGGGGCCGGATATGAGGCTACATAGGAAGTTCGGGGTTAAGCATTTAAAATAAGGGAAGGCTGAGAGAGAAGGAAAAACAAGCCAAACAGGCTGAAAGGGTGTAAATGGGAGTCGACTACGAGGTCTGCTGTGTAAGGGAAAAGCCATGTGGTTTGGAGTAAGAAGGAGACCATGGAAGAGCTGCCTCAGCTGTGTGGGGACCTGCCTACCCAAGCACCGATTTGTGAGAGATGCTTGGAGCTGAACTGTGATCAGGAATGTTAAGCTGCAGGCTTCTGCTTTCTAAAGGATGTACAGAGAAGTCACTCTCTTGGGATGTGTGCCTCCCTGGATTCCACCATCATCCAGTGTAACACGGCACATGTTTTTCTAAACCACTGCATAGAGGCTGAGAACAGTGCACCCCAGATCCTGAAGGAGAGAGCTGCTGCGAGAGGATGCCAACTCTGAAACCCACAAAAGTACCTTCTAGAGAGGATGAGGATCTGTTTGCACAGCTGGCTGAAGAACAGATAAGGACACAGGGAACTTCTGTGCATGGTTTTGGCTCTAGCCTTTTGGGGGGCGAGGGAAGTGCTGGGTTTCATGGGAGAACATGGCTCTGAGCAGGAGTGCGCTCAGCCCCCCAGGGTTGGAATCCTGTTAATAAAAACCTGTTTCCTGCAGCACTAATTGTTGAGTCATGTGTCAAGGTGCCACATGGCTGAGCTCCAGTTTACTCGGTTACAAGGTAACAAATCAAAATCCAGTATGGACCAAAAGAAATATCATTAATGAGTGAGGCCAACTATACGTAAGCCACAACAATAAACCTGATGGAGATGCATTCTGCTTGCACAGAATGAGAAATGAGAAATATTCTTCAGTTGTTCCCCCCAAATATATCATGATATATAATACTTTCAGTCTTTCTTGGTGACATTTTTTAACAGACACATGGGTATAAGAGCGTATCTCCCTACAATAAGAAAATTAAAAGTAACTGATAATGAATGGCAACTGACATTCAGACTGTGCTGGGGACAACAGAGAGTAGTGGGGGCAAATGAGAAAGCACGTCAGGTTTAATTTTTAGTTCTACCTGATTGCTCATACACAGAAATTCTGATCCAAATTCTCAAACAATAACATTGCTCATACTAAGAACTATGCATATTAGGACACATTGTTAAACAAGCATCTCTTTCATTTTACATACCCCAAATTCAAGATTTTAGCCCACCAGCATCTACACACAGCTAGTTCACAGTACATGGGAATGTCTAAGTTTTTGCAATAATTATGCAAATGAATTAGTACTTAGTGTATTGAGCATCATCTGAGTTTCCTGGTGGTTTAGCATGCACCTAATTCAGTGAGTACACATGGGACCAGGAGTTTAACATTTTTCAGTACAGATGTTATTGGCAAGAAAGAGAATATCTTACATTTTCCAGAAGTTGGAAACATTTGCAATCTCTATTCTTCAAAGAAGGTACCTGATAACCTGAGAAAAATATGATACTTGTGGCGTCAATGGACATGGTCCTTCCTCCTCCCATGACTGAGTGCTGGTCAGATGGTCACTGGCCAGAAGGAATGTGTATTGTTTTGGGAATGGATTGTAACTTCCTCCTTATCTCCTTTTGGGGAACAGCTTCTTGTCCTGTGACTGCTTCTTGACCTTTTACACACTGAGGTAATGTAGTTTAGAGTCACGCAAGGACATGTGCCTCCTCTGTCTGGGACCCCTTAAAACAAGCCTCAGGCTAGAGAGAGCTCACACCACCCAGCGGCCGTCGATGCACTCCCCTGTACTGTGAGCAATAAATGCATGGCCACATCTGCTAGTCCTCCAGGTGTCTCCTGGAATATCTTGAACACTTAAGCAGCTCTTGGATTTGAGTTTGGAGCTCTTGTGCTACAGTACTAAAAATTAGTAAGAGATTATATTCCTATAATTAGTAGTAGCATCAGAATTAAAAGTATAGGTAGCCAACCTCAGAAAAAAATAATCTTTAAGGACATAGGCCTTCTCAGTTGTTGTATAAAACTTTAAATATCTGCATAAATTTTGTGAAGATCAGGAAGAGTATGGATTTTTATACCATTCCTCATTCTGGTAAGAAAGGTCTGCATAAGGTTGTATATACTAACAGACCTTGAATATTAAGAATAATGTACCAAGGGTATGAAGAAAAGGGTGCAGAGTAAGGAGAAATCCAAGGTCAAAAACTAGTGTTAAAGAAGTGTTACCATTGGTATTTAGCTAGAAAAGCAGAGCAAAGGGACTTAGACATTGAATTTAATAAAGAGGGGAGATTAAACCTGTTTGCTTCACCAGGAAGCTACAGCTTGACACCTCAGGGGATTAACGCTCTTTCCCTTTCCTCCTCCAGTACCAGATTGTTGGGGAGCAAAGGGAGAGGTGCTGGGCCATAGAGGCCTGTCAGTTTAACCAGGGGGTGTGGACCCATCCAAAGCGCATGAAAGTTTGGGAAGTTGATTAGTTCTTTCTTAAATAAGATATTTATTTATTTTTAGAGAGAGGAGAAGGGAGTGAGAAAGAAAAGGAGAGAAACATCGCTGTGTGAGAAAAACATCACTGTGCAAGTGAAACATGGATCAGTTGCCTTTTGCACGCCCCCAGCTGGGGACCTGTCCCACAGCC